GAGGGTCCTGGGCTCCCATGGAAGGTGTAGTCCAGCCTCTCTCTGTCTGGCCCCAGCACTCGCCCGCTGCCCGGGCTTCCTCACTCCCTAGCTGGGTAAACACTGTGCCGAGCCCTGCTGTCCCCCTCTCAACAGCTTATGTGTCTCGCTGCGCTGCAAATGCAGGGCTTCACAGAAACTCAGCCTTCTCCTCCGTGGCCCTCGTCTTCCTCATGCTCCCAGCGGTACCGGCAGAAGCCGCACCGCTTCCATCAGAGAACGGACAAGCTGCCTGCTACTCCCTGGGATGCAGTCAGCCCTCTGTAACTGCAGGGGCTGCAGCTGTAGATGCAGCCTACAGAGTAAAAATACATTCAAAACCATCGCTTCTGTACTGAACATGGATGGGCATTTTCCCTCATCATTGTTTCCTAAACGATACAGTATGAGAACAATTTACGTGGTGCTTGCCTTGTGTTTGGGATCACAAGTCCTCTTGCGATGATTTAAAGTGTACAGAAGCTCCTTTTATCTAAGGGACTTGAGCACCTGTGGATTTTGGCAAGTGTGGGAATCCTAGGACGACTGTATGGGAATGTACATTTTTTTTTTTTACAATTATTTATTTGAAAAGCAGAGTTAGAGGTGGTGGGGGGAGGGAAGGGGGAAAGAGAATGAGAACAAGAAAGTGCACTTCCATCCTCTGGTTCATTCCCCAAATAGCCACATGGCCAGTGATGGGCCAGAATGAAGCCAGGAGCTTCTTCCAGGTCTCCCACATGAGTGCAGGGGCCCAAGGACTTGGGCCGTCTTCTGCTGCTTTCCCAGGCTCTTTAGCAGGGAGCAGCTGGGACTCTAACCGAAGCCCATATGGGATCCTGGCCCTGCAGGCCAAGGCTTAAGCCGCTACACCACAATGCCAGCCCTGGAATTCACATCTTGCAAACTCAAAGGAGCTGAGTGGGATCTCACAGAGGCCGTTGCCCCAGATGTGGGTAAGAATGTGGAGCCAGCCCCTTGCGTGGGTGGAATCAGATGGGGTCTGTGGCCACCGCGAGTGAGTTTGTCAAGGAGAACCTGTTCTCCGTGGCTGCTGTCCGTGGTGTAACCCTCTTGCTGCCTGACCAGGCAGTCAGCAAGGCCACAGTGTTGGGGGCAGCACGTTTAACCCTAGGACCAGCGACAGAAGCGGGCCGTGCCAGACCCGTCCTGAGCCGCCTCCCCCACCTGGCAAGGCGACTCAGCCCATCTCTGCGTCTCTTGGAATGAGTCTTGGCTAACTGGAGACCCGGGCTTTGTTTTCAAGCATTTGTTTTACTAGAAGTGCTTTGTTTTAATTACGTCATTCATGAGGACAAATCCAAACGTTACAAACACATTCTCCATCACCCCGCTCAATCCCACTTTCCTCTCCCTACAATGTGACTGGACCTGCCCAGCTCCCTTTCCTGGGCTGTGTACAGAAACATGGAGAAACCTGTGTAACTGCTTTTTCTAATTGTTGAATATAAATGATTTGCATGAGGCCTGCGTTTTGGCACAGTGGGTTAAAACCCCAGCCTGAAGCATCAGCATCCCATATGGGTGCTAGTTCTAGTCCCGCTGCTCCATTTCCAATCCAGCTCTCTGCTATGGCCTGAGAAAGCAGTAGGAGGTGGCCTAAGTCCTTGGGCCCCTGCACCCACATGGGAGACCCGGAAGAAGCTCCTGGCTCCTGGCTTCAGATCAGCTCAGCTCTGGCCGTTGTGGCCATTTAGGGAGTGAACCAGCAAATGGAAGACCTCTCTCTCTGTCTGCCTCTCTCTGTAACTCTGTATATGAAATAATTAAAAAAGTAAATAAATCTTTAAATGAAATGCGTTGCCTATGGCTTTGAACTGTGGCTTCTGAGGATGAAGACCATTGTAGGGGCTGTCCCCATCTAGGCAATTGTTCTCATTCTTTCCAAGTACTGTGGTGCAGTGCACAGAACAGGCAGGCAGGTGTGCCTCCTTTTCCATTCCTGTATGGATGGACAGGAGCGCACTTCTAGGTGTGCCTGATCACCAGCAGTGCTGCAGGGAGCAATCCCCTCCGCCGGTTCACTCCCCAAATGCCTGCAGCAGCCAGGGTGGGGCCAGGCCAAAGGCAGGAGCTGGGAACTCCATCCGGTACCTCGCGTGGGTGGCAGGAACCCAACCACCTCAGTCATCACCCACTGCCTCCATGGTGCACGTTAGCAAAAAACTGGAATCGGAAGTGGGGCCAGGACTAGAACCTGGGAACTCCGAGGTGGGATGTGGGCATCCCAAACTGCATCTTTTTAAAATTTTGAAAGGCAGAGTGAGAGAGAGAGAGAGAGAGAGGGAGAGAGGGAGGGAGAGAGAGGTCTTCCATCCACCAGTTCACTCCCCAAATGGTCACAAAGGCAAAGTCGGGCCAATCTGAAGCCAGGAGCCAAGAGCTTCTTCCAGGTCTCCCATGTGGGTGCAGGAGCCCAAGGACTTGGGTCATCTTCTACTTCTTTCCCAGGCCACAGCAGAGAGCTGGATGGGAAGTGCAGTCTCCAGGACTTGAACTGGTGCCCATATGGGATGCCGGCACTGCAGGCAGCCGGCTATGCCACGGCGCCAGCTCCCAGCCAAGCTGCATCTTAAGAATTCTGCTGGAGCCAGCACTGTGGTGTAGCGGGTAAAGCTGCCAGCTGCAGTACTGTCATCCCATATGGGCGCCAGTTTGAGTCCCAGATGCTCCACTTCCAATCCAGCTCTCTGCTGTGGCCTGGGAAAGCAGGAGAAGATGGCCCAACTGCTTGGGCCCCTGGACCCGCGTGGGAGACCCAGAAGAAGCTCCTGGCTCCTGGCTTCAGATCAGCACTGCTCCAGCCATTGCAGCCATCTGGGGAGTGAACCAGATGCTCTGCCTCTATCTCTCTGTAACTCTGCCTTTCAAATAAATAATCTTTTTTTTTTTTTAAGAAAAAAAAAAAAACACTCTGCGCAACACCTGCCCCTGAGAGCACTCTTTGAGTACCTGTAAGACTGCCCTCTCTGTCACTTCTTGCTGTGACCCCTGTCGCCTTCCCTCTTTTACAAATGGTGAGGGCAAACTTTCGACAGCATCCAGTGGCAGCGGCTTTGGTGTTTGCTTCGGAGACCAAATTTCTGGTCACTTCTGGGCTTCAAAGTTTCTTATTTTACAGAAGTCAATGAGCAAGTTTCGGAGCCCTCTGTCGGGGGATTCGGTCCACACCCAGGCCCCTGGCCCCTTCCCTGGCTGGATTCCCGTGGGTTCTGAGCCTCTGGCAGGGGCCGCGGCGCCACAGCTGGACCTGTGATGCAGATCTGGCCGGCAGCCATGGGACGGCCTTCTCCCGGCCTCTGGTTCCCAAGCCTCGTCGTCCCACTGCACGGGAAGTGGTAGTTGTCACTTCCGTTTTCAGCGGCTGAAGGAAGTTGGCCACTCTGTGGGGTGTGAGGGATCTGGGTGAAGTAGGGCATTGTCTCCCAGCGCCTGGGTGGGGGTGCAGAGGGAGGCCCGGCCTCAGCAGAAGAGCCCCTTCTATCCAGGGGGTGACTGAGGCTGGGGTGGGGTGGGAAGCTGCCTGGGGGTGGGAGTGCCTTCCGGGGGCCACCTGAGCGCAGCCACTGTGCCCCTGTGGACCGCCCCCACCTCCCCTGCACAGGGGTCCCCTGCCCCAGTGACCCGTGCCACGGGGTCTGCTTCAATGGGGAACGTGGAACTCAGACCTGAACCACTTGTGACCCTTTGGGACTACCTCAGCCTCGCCAAGCCTCAGCTTCCACATCTGTGCAACGGAGACAGCAACACCTCCCAAAGGCTGCCAGGCAGCCGAGTGAGATCATAAAGAAAAAGAGAGAGAGAGAGAGAGAGCGTCCATGTGTGATATAATGGAAGGAGCATCTAATTCATTTGTAGCGGCCACCATGAGCTCACGCGGGAAGGCGCTGGTAGGAGACCCTGAAAAGGCGAAGAGGAGGGGGCTCGGCCCAGGCGGGAAGGGCCCTCAGGCCACAGCCCCGCCAAGCAGCAGCTCCAGTACCCTTTGTTCTGAGCCAGGGCTCACCCGGCAGCCTTCTTGGTGCTCATTTGTATTTTTTCTCCTGACCTTGATGGAGCCCGGGGACAGGCGTGAAGACAGGCTCCCCCGCTGCTTGTACAGTCTGAGGTGTGCAGCGGTACCATTAGTATATTTTACCAGCGAGCAGACCAAGCTTGTTCAAGGTCACGGTGCCGTGTAATCCAGGGACTGTCTGGCCCCAGCATCCCCTTCCCGTACACCCCACAGCAGCAGGTCCTGACCCACACACGTGCCCTTGACCCTGGAAAAGCAGACTGTGAAACGCAGGCTTCTCAAGTGGCATTCAGCTTTTTCAGTCTTGGCCTTGGGGATTGAATTCCTCCCTCCCAGCCCGAGCCCCGCCTCTGCCGCTCCAGTGACTTGAGAAAAATCGAGCCCTTGAATCACCCAGACCTTGAGCCAGTGTGACTCAGCACTGTCCTCTCCGGCAGCCCCTCGGCCCCAGCTGTCACCCACATGGACAGTTGCTTCACATGCAGAGTCTTTTGCAACTGCCTTGAACCTGGCCAGCTGAAGGGGTTCGGCTGCCTGCCATGTTGCCTGAGGCTGGGGGCTAGACAGCAGCCAAGTCTACCATGGGCTTTGGGGAGCAGCTCTGCAAGTCGGGTGACCAACCTGGCCCTGTTTCCCCAGGAAAGTCAGGATGGCTGGGCCCCCCTGCATGCCCCAAGTGCAGCCTTGGCATTGGTCGAGATGGTGGGCAGGCCAGGGGCTGGCTCCACATGCCCCATGGCCCACCCTCTGACCCAGATGCGCTGCAGGAATGGGTCCCTGTCACTCAGCTTGCCTCCAAGAGCCATTAATAGGCTTGGAACGTGTGACCCCCGGGCAAGGCAGCTGAGCTGGTTTGCGTGTGTCAGGGTTCCTGGGGGAGAAGGAATAACTGTTGCAGGGGAAAGTATCACTGTTTTTTTTTTTTTTTTTTTTTTTTTTTTTCCCCCAGCTTCCTTTTCCTCTTTAGTGATGATCCGCTTGGCCTCCTTGGCCAACGCGCCCTCCAATGGCCTGCCTGGCTTCTCCCTTCTGACTGGCTGTCTGAAAGGCCACCTCTGGCCTGGCCTGCCGGGGGCAGTGGCTTGGTGGCGAGCCTGTGCTTGGGGGCTCGAGGGAACAGCATGACCTTGGCTGTGCTCCTTGAGCCTCTGTGGCTCGGGAGACTGAAGCAGGGAGCGGGGAGGTGCTGTGCAGGAGTCACGCACCCGGACACCTCTGCAGCTCAGAGCGTGGACTGGGAGGCTGTGTAGGGTGCGTGGTTGGATTGGAGCGGTTCTGGTGAAAGCCCTGGGTAGCTGTCGTGCTTGGCAGAATAATGGCCCTCAAACACGTCTGCCTCCGAATTTCCAGAACCTGCAACTGTGTTAGTACCTTACACAGGGAAGTGGACTTTACAGGCGAGATGCATTTAAGGGTCTTGACATGGGAAGATTAGTCAGGCGTCTTGGTTTACTCACAGGGGGTCTTGGGGAAGCAGAGGGGGCAAGGGGACAGGAAGGATGTGGACGTGAGCCTCGGGAAGCTGGAAGTCACGGAGGGGATCTTCACACAGGGCCTCCCGAAGGCACGAGCCCTGGGCACACCCGGTCTGAGCCCCTTCAGGTTCACTTCAGGCTCTTGACCTACAGAACAGTGAGCATAAATTCGTGTTGTTTTAAGGCACTGAGTTGGTGGAAATGCGTACAGTGTGGCTTAGGCAATGTAGTCATTCCTGGGCAAGTTCTGCAAAGACAGGGACCTCCTGGCTCAGGGAGGTGGTATGGAGGGGCTGAGCCCAGAGCATGGCGTGCACAGCGCGCTCTGCCAAGGGACTCTCCTGGCCTTGTCCCTGTCCTCTTGCGGGGGGTCAGGTTGCAAAGCCAAGTGTCTGCCTCTGTCCTCATCACTCACAGTTCCCAGACCCATGGCACCCTCTGCACCTGCAAGGCCATTTGAATGTCAGATTCCAAACATGAGTGAGAACAGACATTTTCACATGATCCCTAACTGATTTCACAAAGGTGCTTGCTGAATCCTCAGAAGGTGGTGATACCACAGGCATTGCTGGTACTGCCATTAGGCAGAGGGAACAGAGAGGTTGAGTGAATTGTTAAGGCACACACAGCTATGAGGGAACCAGCACTCAGCCTTCACATATCTAACTTGGTAATGGAGTCCTTTAAAAAAAAAAGATATATTTATTTGAAAGGCAGACTGACAGAGGGAGAGAGAGAAAGTGAGAGAGCAAGGGAGAGAGAGAGAGCAAGCTTCTACTTAGCGCTTCACTTTCTAAATGGCTAGCAACCAACCAGGGCTGGGCCAAGAACTCCATCCAGCTCTCCCACCTGGGTGCAGGGACCCCAGTACTTGGACCATCCTCCACTGCTTTCCCAGGCACATTAGCAGGGAGCTGGATTGGAAATGGAGCCACCAGGACTCAAACTGGTTCCCATATGTGATGCTGGCACTGTAGGCAGCGGCTTTACCCAATATGCCACAGCACCAGCCTCTTTTTTTTCTTTTTAAAAATTTATTTATAGGGTCTGGTGCTGTGGCATAGTAGGTTAAGTCTCTGCCTGTGCCACGGGCATCTCATATGGTGCTGGTTTAAGTCCCGGTTGCTCCATATCTGATCTAGCTCCCTGCTCTGTCTTTCCCTCTCTGTGTTTGTAGCTGTGGCTCTCAAATAAATTATCTTTTTAAAATTTTTCTTTACTTATTTGAAAGGTGGCGTTAGAGAGAGGGAGAGAGATCTTCCATTCACTGGTTCACTCTCCAAATGGCCTCAACAGCCAGGGTCAGGCCAGGCCCACGCCAGGAGCCGGGAGCTTCTTCTAGGTCCCCCACACGGGTGCACTTGGGCCATCCTCCGCTGCCTTCCAGGTGCACTAGCAGGGAGCTGGCCCGGAAGTGGGGCAGCCGGGACTCCAGCTGCCGCTCTGATGCTGCACATCTGTAGGTGGGGATGAGAATCACAGCTGCCTTGGAGGAAGCCTTAGGTGCATTTGCTGCACCAACTAAAGGAAGCAGTTGACCCTGGGCTGTGGGCCTGAGGGCCCACTGCTGAGAAGCAGGAGGACTTCATGGAGGAGGTGACTGGGTGGTTTTGAGGGAAGTGTAGGAGTTTACAAGACAGGGTTTGGGTGGGAGTAGGGTTTTAGGTAAAGAAAGTAGTTCGGGGCCGGCGCCGCAGCTCACTAGGCTAATCCTCCACCTTGCGGCGCCGGCACACCGGGTTCTAGTCCCGGTCAGGGCACCGGATTCTGTCCCGGTTGCCCCTCTTCCAGGCCAGCTCTCTGCTGTGGCCAGGGAGTGCCGTGGAGGATGGCCCAAGTGCTTGGGCCCTGCACCCCATGGGAGACCAGGAGAAGCACCTGGCTCCTGCCATCGGATCAGCGCGGTGCGCCCGCCGTGGCGGCCATTGGAGGGTGAACCAACGGCAAAGGAAGATCTTTCTCTCTGTATCTCTCTCTCTGTCCACTCTGCCTGTCAAAAAAAAAAAAGAAAAAGAAAAAGAAAAAGAAAAAGAAAAAGAAAAGAAAGAAAGAAAGAGAAAGAAAGAAAGCAGTTCGGGCACAGACAGGGAGGCAAAGTGAGTGGCGTGTTCAGAAAGCTGTAGATGTGGTGGTGAGGCTGGTGGAGGCCACAGCCGCAGGAGCCCCATCTGCCCTCCTTCCGCCGTTTTCAGTTACTGTGCGCTCTTTCCCTACATTTTCCCCAAGGCCACGGCCTGCAGAGGGGCCTCGGGCCATGCAGGCATCTGGGCCCCTAGGAAACAGCCAGGGAACTCATGACCCCGAGCACATCCACTGGTAAGAGGTCTCCCGAGGGCCTGGGCGAGCAGCGGCAGTGACAGGTCGGGCAGGGAGCCTGCACAAGGCACTGAGCGCCGGCCATGCCCCGCGCTGTGCAGCCTGGGGCTGGCTCCGCAATGTCTCTGAACCTTCCTTCTCTCCTCGTTGCCAAGGCAACACTGAGACAGGAGGCTTGTCTCTCCCGTGGTTACCTGCCTGCTCCTGTGAGCAGGAAAGCAGGATTTACTGAAAGGCGAAGGGGTAGCACACACTCAGCCATGAGCTGGGCGAACTCGAGAGAGAGAGTTGCCCCCACCCAGGGCAGGGGTGGCGCTCGGGGCAGGGCCTGACAGAAGACCCCAGGGAGGGATTGGAGTGGGGCCGCAGGATGCTGTCTCAGCGTGCGGTCCCTGATGGAAAGTGGGGCTTAGCAGCATGGCAGGGCGCGGGGGTGCCGAGCCTTCAGCCATGTTTGAGTGTGACGCGGAAGGCGATGGGCTTTGGGCCGGAGTGTGACTTGGGGGCTGGTGGTCCTTAGCTCCTCGTCCTCCTCTGACTGCCTGCAGAGCCCACATCACTCCCTCCTCAGAGATTTTCAGCCCTTAAACCCTAGCGGAAGTAGAGGCCCGCCTTCTGTAGCTTCGTGCTAAGGCCGTCCACCCTGCCTAGCCGGAGAACCAAACTCCCTTGCTGGCTGCTCTAGAGATTCCGCCTGAGCAGCGAGAGGTCTGCCCCCAGACACTGGCTGTGGTGGAATGAGAAGGCCATGCCAAGGTGGCCGCTGGCAAGCGAGCGTCAGTTACTCAGGAATGGCTTCGGAAACCACCTGGCAACGGAGCCTGCCTGGCAACAGGCTGTGATTGGTTAGGGCATAAACCACCCCTTGACTGGATTGGCTGCCTCAGCTATATAAGCTGCTGCACCAACTGAAATAAACGAGTCTGCGGGCTGCTGGCTTCTGGCCTACTTTCACCCGACTCCTGGTGTCTGTGTGGTGATTCCACACCTCTTGCCCCCACTGTGCTTGCTATCCACGGGGCTTGCCGTCCACGCCTGTGATGACACAGCTCTCTGACGGTGGGGGTCCTGCAGGAGGATTCTGTGCAGAGCAAGTTTCCCCAGTACCAGTGAGGAACCCCCTGCCTTCTGACCTACACTCACTCACATCCAGCTGCTTTTGGTGAAGCCTGCATAACTTCTAGGGATGTCTACCTCTCATTGATTTGTTGCCGTTTCATTTGAAAGGTCCAGAGAAAGAGAACTTCTCTCTGCTGGTTCACTACCAAAACGCCTGCATTAGGCAGGGCTGGGTCAGGCTGCAGCCAGGAGCTGGGGACTCCATCTGGATCGCCTGCATCGGTGGCAGGGTCCCAAGTTCTTGAGGCATCGTCTGCTGCCTCCCAGGATGTGTGTTAGCAGGAACTGGATGGGAAGTGGAGGGGTCAGGACTTGACGCAGGCCTGCCAAGCAGCGCTCATCACCACGCCCAGTGCCTGCCCCCAGCTGTGGGTCTGAACGACACAGTTCTCAGTATCGCCGCTTCGATGAGAAACGCAGGACTGTGGACCAGTCCCTCCTCTGAGCCGCGGGCTGCTCCTTTGAACTGGAACAGCCCGTGTTTTTGTGTGACTCAGATGTGTTGTAGCTGAGACAGCTGTCACCCCATACATGACCCTGCTCCCAGACTGCAGTGACATGTGCAGGGCTGGGCACGTGACCCACCTTGGGCCATTAACCCACCCCCCACCACCACCCCAGAAACTGCGGAGCTGGGACTCACCAGGGAAACCTTTTCTTCTCTGGGCAAAGCTGTAAGGGCGAGAGTCTGGAAGCTTCTAGAGAGCGTTGTCTTCCCCCCACATGGAGACGGTGACCTCGGGTGAGAACGTGGCCGCACCCTGAGAGATGCAGATTGGGGGGGGGGCAGAGAGACCTTGGCTGTGCTGGCGTCTCTGATCCCAGCCGTGTGAGGCAAGCTATGCCCTTGCCTTCCTGCCCTCTGTGCTTGGTAGCTATTCCCCTGGAAATAGTCCAGCATGAGTTCACCCTTTTGCCTAATCTGCATCTAACTTTTTTTTAGTCTGTGCCCGAGGAGACTGATGAATCAGAGTTGTGTAATCAACCCTATTTTCAGGTGAGGGTATGGAGGCCCGGAGAAACCAGGGAGCTAGCCCCAAGTCGCTCGGGGAGCAAATGCCAGCTGGGAATTTTGTCTTGGGACCAACCTGGCCCAAAGCCGCTGTGCTCCCCTTTGCCCTGCTTGGTCTCGTGTATGCCGTGGCAGCTCCCTGGAGGGCAGCTTGGGTTCTTACTGTCCCAGTGGGAGCCCATCAGGAAAACAGAAATCATCCCAGGATTTCGACAGAGGGAATTTAATGGAAGGACTTGGGCCTGCAGGCAGAAGGAGACTAAAGGGAGCCCCTGAGGGGAACCTGGAGAAAATAACCCTGGAGAGCAGCTGTGGCCTCTGGGGCTGGGGAATGAGAGGGGAGAAGCTGGGCTTAGGGAACCCAGAGGCTGCGAGTGGGGGCCCTGGAGCAGGAGCTCAGACACTGAGCAGGTGCAGCAGGTGCAGCAGGGCTGGGGCCAAGGGTTGCACTAGTAGGGACAGCGCCAAACAGGGAGAAGGAAGGACCTTGTCCCGCCTTTGGATCTTCTGCCAGGGCCTCCTACCCAGAGCACCAGGTAGAAGGCCAACTGCATAGGATTCTGGGAACTGTGGTAGCAAAGGTGCCCAAAGCCACAGAGCCAAGCCAAAGGACAGCGGATAAACACCTGGCACTACTCTGTCTCTTCCACTCCTGCAAACAAAGGATCAGGTTACCCAGAATCCAGGCGCAAATCCATCCCTGGTCCCCTTCTCTGTCTCTCTCTCTCAAATAAAATTTTAAAAGGAGAGAGAAATATCTGTCATTTGCTAGTTTACTCCCTAAGCGCCTACAACAGCCAGGACTGGACCAGGCCAAATCTGGGAGCCTGGAACTCCGTCTGGGTCTCCCACATGGGTGGCAGGGGTCCAAGCCCTTGAGCCGTCACCTGCGGCTCCCTTAGGTGCACATTCTCAGGTGGCTGGATCAGGAGCAGAGCTGGGACTTGAAACCAGGGCCTCCGTTAGGGGTGCAGGTGTCCTGAGCGGCATCTTGAACATCGCACCAAACTCCTGCCCCATGGTGTCTCTTGAGCTGCAGTGATGGACACAGAGCTGGGCCACAGCCCAGGTCGTGGCTCCATGTGGGTGCCTTGCGTGGACGGCACAGGCTTCCCACGGTCTGCGAGGCAGGCACTGGGTGCTGGAGGAACTCTCCGATTCTTGCCCTGCCCCAGCCCCGGGAGAATTCCATTCCACCTTGTCCGGGGCTGTTGCGGAAGCCTTGGCAAGCCTGGACAGCTGGTGAGGTGGTGTTCATGGAGAACGAGCCCCTCCCTGGCCAGGGGCAGGGGCAGGGGCAGGGGTGGGATTGGCACTGGGAACAGGCAGCTCCCTGACCTGTCTGAGGGTCGCTTTTCCACAGGGGCGTCTGCTCAGACAGGAGGGCTGACCTCAAGACCGGATGACAAGGTGGCTCCTGGCTCCGGCCGCGCCCCGGCGCGTCATCCCGTGCCTGACACATCAGGCCTGCCGCTGGCTGGCCAGGCGCTGGGGCCTGGGAATCTGGCGTGCTCAGCAGCCGTGGGGCCCCTCGGGCTGCTCGGGGCTGTCGTTCCCACTAACCCTTCTTGTCTGATGTCGATGAAAGAGGATGGGCTGCAGACGCGAGTCATTCTTTGCTCCACCACTTCCTGGCTGGAGGACATTGGCAGATGACTGGGATTGCTCAGTAAATATAAAAACCCTTGGGAGCCAGCGCCGTGGCTCCCTGGGTTAATCCTCCGCCTGCGGTGCTGCCATCCCATATGGGCACCGGGTTCTAGTCCCAGTTGCTCCTCTTCCACTCCAGCTCTCTGCTTTGGCCCGAGAGGGCAGTGGAGGATGGCCCAAGTGCTTGGACCCCTGTACCTGCATGGGAGACCAGGAAGAGGCTCCTGGCTCCTGGCTTCGGATCGGTGCAGCGCCGGCTGCAGCGGCCATTTGGAGAGTGAACTAATGGAAGGAAGACCTTTCTCTCTGTCTCTCTCTCTCACTGTCTATAACTCTTCCTGTCAAATAAATAAATAAAAAATAAACAAATAAATATAAAAACCCTGCCCCTTCACCATGAGCCCTGCCTCCACTCTTTATGTGATGTGTGGTTGCTGTGTAAACGCTGTACCCCCCCCCCCCACCCTGCCGCTGTTGGGACTTTTGCATTGAGCAGTCACGGGCAAGTTGAAGGTCTGAAGGGGAAGCAGCCTCTGCTCCTTGGCTACACGTCTGCTATTTCTGGAGCTCTTCGTTCCTCCCTGTCACGTGCCCAGAGCTGCTTCAGACTTTGGGGCGAGCCTGCTGGTGGTGAGTCCTCTTAGTTTTCATCTTAGTTTTCCTTTATGTCAAGGGAGAATTCGTCTTTATTCCTTTTTTTTAATTTATTTTTTGCCAGGCAGAGTTAGACAGTGAGAGAGAGAGAGAGAGAGACAGAAAGAGAGTTATAGACAGTGAGAGAGAGAGACAGAGAGAAAGGTCTTCCTCCTGTTGGTTCACCCCCTATTGGCTGCCACCGGCGCTGTGCCAATCTGAAGCCAGGAGCCAGGTGCTTCCTCCCGGTCTCCCATGCAGGTGCAGGGCCCAAGCACCTGGGCCATCCTCCACTGCCCTCCCGGGGCCACAGCAGAGAGCTGGACTGGAAGAGGGGCAACCAGGACAGAATCCGGTGCCCCGACCAGGACTAGAACCCGGTGTGCCGGCGCCGGTAGGCGGAGGATTAGCCTAGTGAGCCGCGGTCCCGGCTTGTTTATTCTTGAAAGGTGTTTTCACTGGCTATGCAGTGAACTGCACAGGATGATGTTTTTTCTTCCTGTGCCACTGTCTCCAGGCCTCTGTTCCTTCTGACGGGAGGCCGGTGACATTGATACGGTGGTTGCCTGGTATGAAATGTGCTGCTCCTCCCCCACCCCCCGCCCACCTGGCTCTCTTCAGCTATTTCTCTCTACATTTGGTTTGCAGGGTTTGATTCTGTGCCTGGTGTGCTACGATGTACTCATCCTGCTGGGGATTCATTGATTCCTGGGTGTGGAAATTTGCCCACATCCAAGTGGGAGAATTTGAGTCACTGTTTTTCTTTCAAATACTGTGTCTGCCCCATTCCTCTCTCCTTTCCTTCTGGGACTCCAATTATGTGTGTGTTAGACCTTTTGATACTGTCCCACAGGCCCCTGAGGTTCCGTTCTCCTCCCTTTTTCTTTAATTCATTTTGTTCTTCAGACTGGATATTTTGTTATCTTTTTTTTTTTCAAGAGATGCTCTCCCTTTCTTAAATTTATTGATTTGAAAGGCAGAGAGAAAGGGACAGAGATCTTCCATCTACTGGTTAACTCTCCAAATGCCCGAGATAGCCAAGACTGGGCTAGGCTGAAGTCAGGAACCAGGAACTCCAGCTGGGTCACCTGTATGCATTTCAGGGACTTCAGCATTTTAGCACCACCTGCTAGGGTGCACATTTTAGCTATCACTTGCTGCCTCCTAGGGTACACATTCCAGGGTGGAATTTGGAGAAGAGCAGGACTCAAAGCCAGGTAATGTAACATTGAATGCAGGTATTTCAAGCAGCATACTATCTTTTGTACCAAACCTCCCCTACCCCATTCTTATTTTAAACATTTATTTCAAGGGGCTGGTGCAGCAGGTTAATCCTCTGCCTGCAGTGCCAGCATCCCATATGGGCACCGGTTCGAGACCCAGCTGTTCTACTTCCAGTGCAGCTCTCTGCTAGGGCCTGGGAAAGCAGTGGAGGATGGCCCAAGTCCTTGGGTCCCTGCACCCACATGGGAAACCTGGAAGAAGCATCTGGCTTCGGATTGGCAGAGCCCTGGCTGTTGCGGCCATTTTGGGAGTGAACCAATGGAAGGAAGACCTTTCTCTCTGTCTCTCCCTCTCACTGTCTGTAGCTCTAACTCTCAAATAAAATAAATAAAATCTATTTCAAAAGCAGACATGCAGACGGATAGATGGCAAGGAAGAGCTCCCATATGCTGGTTATTCCCCAAGTGCCAGTAACTGCTGGAGCTGGGACACATTGAAGCCAAGAGCCAGGAACTCAGTCTGGGACTCCCACATGGGTGGCAAAGACCCAGCTGCTTGGGGGCTGGCGTTGTGACATTGTGACATTGTGCTGGATTAAGCCATACCTACGATGCTGGCATCCCACATGAGAACTCCAGTGTGAGTCCTGGCTGCTCCACTTCCAATCCAGCTCCCTGCTAATGAGTCAAGGAAAGGAGCGGGAGATGGCCCTCATGTTTGGGCTCCTGCCACCCACATGGGGGTCCCAGATGGATTTCCAGATTCTGGCTTCTGCCTGGCCCATCCCCAGCTGTTACGGCAATTTGAAAGGGAAGCCAGCAGTTGGAAGGCCCCTCTGTGAATCTCCTGTCTCCATAATTCCGCTTTTCAAACAAACAGATAAGTAAATAAACAGACCCAACTGCTGAGCCGTCACTTGCTGCCTCCCACAGTGCACATCAGCAGGAAGCCAGAATTGGGAGCAGAGCCGGGACTCAGACGCAGGCACTTCTATCTGGTGCGCGAGTGCCTCAGGTGGTGTCATAACAGCCGTGCCAGACACCCGTCCCTGTACTGGGCATTTTCTGTTAATGGATTTTGGAGCCCACTGCCTCTTTCTTCTGTCCCCTCCGACCTGCCCCTCAGCAGGCCCCTCCGGTCTCAGCCTGTGCTCACTTGGCTGTGACTCTAGGCACTTTGTTTCTTTGGAATCATTGTCCATGGTTGCTTTGATGGCCCAGTAGGAATGTTTCTGCCGCTATTGGGAATGAAACCCTGGACAAACGACGCCCAGCTACATTTTCTAACCTAGAAAGTGGTAAAAATGGGAACAACCCCCATGGTTTGTGTCTGTAACTGTCTAGCACTGGAAGTGACATGCCATAGGTCCGTGTCCCATCCCACCTGGCTTCTATAGCTGCCCTTCTCCTCCCTGGAGGGAGAGAAGGGCGCCTCCCTGGGTGAGGATAGGGGAAGAATAAGGCAGGAGCTGCATGGCCAGGAGCTTGGAGAGAGGGAGACAAGCTGAATCACGAGGGCTCTTTGAAGTGTGAGGGACTGCAAACCCACTTCCTGCCGAGGAAGCCGAGGGCAGCGTGCAGGGATTGGCATCGGCATAGCTGTAGAGAGGGCAGCGTGCAGGGATTGGCATCGGCATAGCTGTAGATGTGTGCGGAGAGGCTCAAGGTCTCTGTCTCCGACTCTGCTCTCCTACTCTGCAGGGGAGAAAGAACATTCCAGAATGAGGAAGCTGTAGGGAGGTCAACATGGCCGATGTGCGGAGGAGAGGGTGGTGAGGGGAGATGGAAGGACAGGCAGGTCAGATAACCTGGAACTCGCGCCCCACTGGTAGGAGAGCCATGGGATCCGATCTGGACGTGGGACAGATCTTCCCGGCTGCAGAGTGGAGACTCAGGAGTGGGAGCGGGAAGGCCCTGGCCCAGACCCAGGCAAGTGACAGCTAAGGGGACACTGGCGAAAGCGGAGAAGCAGCGCTCAAGGGGTTTGCAGGAAGTAGGAGCAAGATGCCTGCACCGGCTTGCTCAGCTGACCCTGTAGCACCAGCCCCTGGACAGTGATGCCCCTCGCACGGCTGCCTCCATCTCCACCCCCTGCCCCACCCCTCATGGTGCTTCTAGCTCTGAGCCCCACTGTGGGCTTGGCAGAGCCCAGGTCACACACCCCTTCCCTGGCCCTGAAATGGAAGACTCCAAGCCAGGGCATCCCCCAGACACAGAAGGGGGTCCCAAGGCTGGGTTTCTTTTTTTGTCATTCATGGTACTGACGTTCTGCAAAGTCACTTTGAGCTGAATTAGCACATACTACGCCTTTGCTATGGGGGATGTAGGTGTAGGTTGCCCTGAGCCTCTGGTGACATCCGCTGGTGGATCCGTGACCTTGTCTAGCGAGAAGCACGAGACTGCAGAAAGCATGCCGCCGACAGCCCGTGCAGGGGACACGTGTGCCCAGCGAGGCTGAGCTAAGGCCTTGGCTGAGGACACGAGTGTGTGTGCAGCCGCCGGAGTTTTGCACCTCTCCGAGTGTGTCTGTGAGTTGCTGTGAGAGAGCTGACGCATGGATTTGCGGTTGTAAATAAATGTTAGCAAGTAGGAAAATTTGCAAATATGGAATCAGTGAATAATGCATACTGACTACATACAGATAAAGTGATAAGTACAAGCATGAATTTATATAAAATATTTCCTATGTGTCTGTTCACGTCTGTCGGTCAGGTGGTAAGGCCTCTGACCTACCTGAGGCTTTGCGTGGCCAGCAGAACACGCGCTGTGCATCACTGTCCAG